TTCGAATTCAACACAATAATCTGGTTTTGGTTTCAGATCACACTAGTCAATTGTTCTATTATACGAAATAGCAAACAGTGCAGAGTGCGACTCTCCTTTTCCTTTTGCCGTTTTTCGTGCAGCACAGTAACTAACCGAAGGCTTGGAAGAGGCTTTGCTGAAACACGGCGGATTACGTAATGAATTTTGTCACGTAAACATCCCGGCCAACATGCAATGATGTCCTTCAAATGTCTATTAACTGAACAATTAAAATGTGCTTTAAAGAAGTTCTTGGTCTTCTTGGGTCAGGTTTGACTTTATACCATTAGTGGCACCTTTGCGATAGCATCCCTGCGACATGTATGACCCACTAAGAACCTCCTCTATAATACGTACGTTTTAGTCCGTAATGAATAGGTTCGACTGTGATCAAAATAGTTTTTCAGCTTGATCTAAGAGATTCGGCATGGTCATTCTCTTCAATTCAATTGAAAGTGCAAGGAACCGTTTTGAGGTCTGCCTGAATAAATTGACTCACAGCTGTGTTTTATCAAATGTATATTATACTCGGCGGTATGTTTGAAAACTTGACTTGACTTGCTGTTACAAAGGCTAGGCTGAGTTTAAAATAATCAAAGAAATAAGTCCCTGGGACCGGCAAAGTGAATGTTTCAATTTCGCCAAGATTGTGTCACTCGAGCTTGTTACATTCCGAGTTGTTTAAATTTCCCCTTACCTTTGCAGCGTTTCACACAGGTCACGGTCAAGCATAAAGAAAGAGTGAAGTCGATAAAATGATCACAAAATNCAATTGAAAGTGCAAGGAACCGTTTTGAGGTCTGCCTGAATAAATTGACTCACAGCTGTGTTTTATCAAACGTATATTATACTCGGCGGTATGTTTGAAAACTTGACGCAAACGCTATTTGCTGTTACAAAGGCTAGGCTGAGTTTAAAATAATCAAAGAAATAAGTCCCTGCGACCGGCAAAGTGAATGTTTCAATTTCGCCAAGAGTGTGTCACTCGAGCTTGTTACATTCCGAGTTGTTTAAATTTCCCCTTACCTTTGCAGCGTTTCACACAGGTCACGGTCAAGCATAAAGAAAGAGTGAAGTCGATAAAATGATCACAAAATTGATGCAGCGGATGTAAGTACTCAACTTTAATAGCCCTGATCATCCTAGAGGCAAAAGGATGTAAATTCCATAGCACGTGGGCTGATTGAACGTGTTGCTGTTGTTAACCCACCCAACGTAAGTCCGTCGACGTCCGTCCGTTCGTCCGTCCGTACGCCAATACCTTGAAAACTAAGAGAGTAGCACCATTACCATAGCTAC